GATCACGCTGGTTGCAGACCGGTCGCTGCTGGTGACCTGGTCGCCTCCGATGACCACCACGGGAACCCGAAAAGATGGCCAGGCGACTTCCCTCGAAGGAGGACTCCGGGGGGAGCCTAGCCTCCAGGCTATCAGGCCATAGGCTAGCTGGTCGACTCCGAGCTGGGTGGCTGACTGGTTGGGAACTAGCAATCCTAGGGCTCTCTGGTTCTAACGAAGCTGGTGTTGGTTGGTCCACCGACGGGGATGATGCAGGTGCCAGTCTCTTGGCCGCTCGTCGTCGTGGCCTATGTCGTCCTCCAGCTGGCCTCACTGGAGGTGGATCCCACGCAGAGTTCGACGAGGTGCGAGCCTCCAGGCTAGTAGGCCCAGAACCGGAGCTGTGTAGGTCTGCTAGCAGCCCGCTAGCAGACCGGTCTCCCTCCGACCAGTGGTTGGTTGGCTGGGGACACTCCGTCTGTTCACTCTCTGGCTCCAAAGGTAAGTCCAACAGAAAGGCAGCCAGAGAGCTGGAAGTCCAAGAATCCCCAACCAACCTGGAAGTTTGAGCCAACTTGGAGGGGGATGGAGCAGGCAGATGACTAGCCCCTGCAGTGGTAGCAGGCCAGGAAACAGGCAGGGAGCTAGCCGCTGGAGCGCTAGCAGGCTGGGAAAAAGGCAGGCTTGGAGAGTGGCTGTACAGGCTGATGGTGCCAAGCCTGACTGATCGGGACGCAGGCTGGGGAACATATAGCCTGGAGCTAGCAGCGCTAGCGGAACAGGGATCAGGCTGGCGGCTAGCAGCGCTAGCGGGCCAGGGATCAGGCTGGCGACTGGCAGCGCTAGCCAGGAAGGACGGGTGGATGCTTCCCTGCATGCAGCCGGCAGGCCGGGGCTCGGGGCTAGCAGGCTTAGCAGTCACACACTGGGGGGTTATGGAACACAACTTGGAAACAGTCTCAAAAACAAATGTCTTTTTCCACCTGGAGGATGCCACAAGCAGAGCCATTTCTGGGTCGGTCCTCCACATTACAGACAGCAGATCAAAAAACTGGGATTCCTCCTCCACTAGCTCCTGTTTTGGCACTCCTAATGCCTCCCAGGTGCTAGGCAGTCTCACGATGTCCGCTGGGTCCATCTTTGGTCGGGTCATTCTGTCACGATCGGTGGTGTGGAGCAGGGTGGAGCAGGTTGAAGGACCCAAAAGCAGGACACAGAGCGGAGCAGGTATGGTTCAGTGGTTTAATAAACAACGGCTGTCCAACAGAAATCCAAAAGGCTGACGACACGAGACAAACTGCAACACTGGATGACAACATACAATGACCCGACAAAGACAAGACAGAAACACCAGGTATATATATACACACACACACACACACACACACAGGGACTAACGAGCAGGGCGGGAGCAACACAGGTGAAAGACATGAGGCTAATGAGACACAGGCAGGGAGAGAGAGAGCGAGTGTAGGGGAAAACAGAGACAGAAATGCAGAGTGTGACAGGGAGGAAGTGGAGACACGTCACCAAAAGTCTAAAAAGTCCTAAAATGTCTCTGGTGTCACTCATCTTTATAGACAGTCCATGGATTAAACACACAAGATATAACATGTTAATGTGTGAGGTTTAGAGGTGCTGGTAGTTGGATCTTTTTATTTTTGGGGTAGAACCAGGCAAGCTATTTCCCCATTTCCAGTCTTGATGCTATGCTAAGCTAAGCTAACCACCGCTGGCTATCACTATCATATTTAGTGCACAGACATTTCTTCTCATATTCCCAAAATGTCAGAAAATTCCTTTAAAGTTTGGGTTCCACTTCCACTTATTTTTTTAAAACTCCTTTTTATTTGGGGATAAATAAAAAACTCCATTCTGCTTCCTATTGGGTGAGTGGCTGGGGGTGTGTGTCTTGCTCAATGGCAGACAGAGAACCCTTTCAAAGACAGAACAGGCAAATGTGTTGTGTTCACTTTTTTGCCCTATGCTTCCAGCTGCTTTAACATTTGTGCCAGTGACTAATTTTGAATATAACAAGGCCTACTATTTCTCATCGACCCAATCTTTGTCTGTATTTTGGGCAGCTAAGGGTAAAATCACTTTCTGCAGCAGTGAAGAAGCAGTTTTCTAGCTGATTGAACACAGATGAAGTATGGCACTGTACAATCAGCACTCGCTGCAGCTTTATCTCTGCTGTGTAACTGTGAACTACCATGAACAGACGCTGCTGTTTCAGGGAAAGTTTTCTCTCCTTCTTTTTTAACTGTATTGCAAAATTTGCTCTTTAGCTTCAGGGGCATTTACTAATTTACTGTGGGTGTCTCATAGGATAATGATCAGATGGTTGTGGCTGTGAAAGTAAGGCTAGTGGCCAAAGAGCAAGAAGTCCTGGCAACAAGCAAGAAGGAAAGATGAGACAAAAGTAAAAATGACAGCTCATTAGGTTGAATGGCAGTTGTTGGGGCAGGGATCTGAGGGGGAAGAGAAATACACATTTTGTCAATGTCAAATCAGAAACCAAAATCAGAATACGCTTTGCTTTCATTTCCTTTTTCTCTTTTTTTTCCTCATTTCTCGTTTTTAGGCTTGTTAAGGTTTATTCTGCTGTATCCTGTCACTGCAAATCAACATCATGAAGTGAAGTGTATATGCTGTTGTCTTTCAGAATCTGAAAAAATCATATTAGTAAAATATATTACATTTATAGGATGTATTCGAGAGTGAAATTCCTGCCTTAATGAGGTAAAGATCAAATTAGCATGCATGTAAATGAACTCACTGAAATACTTGCTGTGCATTGACTTTTGCAGAGAAACTGCACACTGTTTTACTTATTAGCCAAAAGATTCAAGAGACATCAGAAAGCTCAGTTGGCGCAGAATTTCTAATTAAGAAAAAGAAGCACGTTTCAGCCCATCAGGTCATCTTTAGTGTAGAGATTCATGAAAGCAGAATCACTTTAATTACTCTTCTTTTGAGCATTTCTTTTGCAACATGTCTTACTACTGCTCTCTTACCTCTCTCAATCTGATTGTTACAAGCTTTTTAAATACTGCAGCACATAGTGTTGTGTGTACAACAAACCAGATTCCCTGACTTTCACCACCCTCATCTATCCTCCCAGCTGTAGTTCAGTAATATGAATCTGTGAGTGTTTTGTAGTGCAGCACAGCCCTGTTTGGTCAGGCAGGCCTTCTGTCGATATTTGTGTTGATTTGGTTGCAACAGTAAGTAGATTAGGGGACCAGTGATTGAGGGCAAATCAATTACTGGAGCTCAGTGGTCTGTGTTTGGGGGTGGGGGGGTGGGTGTTACTGTAGCATTTATTTACTGTGTGCAGAGCACAACGACATTACCCAGCCTATTTTTCTAATGGGAACATCCTGAGCAAACCATCACCACAATATTCTGGTTACAATCTTTATAGGAACTTATGTGTGTAGGGATCAATAGTAACTTTATAATAATCTTATATTACCTAATCACCTTATAGAAGATTAAAAACAACACATCATACGATGTGTTTTTTAATGTTCTATTGGTATCATGGTGTAACTATGTTGCTTGTCTTTACTATTTAGGTAATGTATATTATCTATTTTTTCCTCTTCAATAATATTTTTTCATTAAATAGTATTATACTATTACCAACTACTATATGTGCCTATAGTATGGGAGACCAGGTATGGTTGTAACATGGGGAGAGTTGTAACAACACCAATTCCACCAATTAGAGATAAGCTAGGAGTTAGGTGATCATTTCAGTATTTCCCGACTTCCTCCCCGATCAGGCATGCTGGGTATCAAAGCTCGAAAGAGGCACATTCAGAATATATAGAGAAAAAAATGATTTTGAGGTCAGAAAGACCAAGACTATTATTTGTTTAGTATCTATACTATTGCAGATAAAATTGTTAGATTGAAATGTAGTTTCTTAGGCAACGTGTGATGCATGTTTCCTTTCTAATTTCAAACCACTATGCTAATACAGCCAGCTAAACATTGGCTGACATGGGTGGGGTGGGTTGTAACATTTCTTTTAAAAGTGTTACAACCATCCACTACACATAAAACTAGGGACTTTCTTGATTTTAATATTTTACAGAGTGCCCTTTGCAGTCTTGGTCCACCAAGCCTGCACTCCAGGGTTACCAGCATTCATTTGTCAGCAGTTGACCAGTACTTCCCATTCACATGTTCAATTCCAGTGCACAAGAAAAAGTCCCGGTATGCCAAAGAGTAAAATATACCAGTGCCGGGTCCACTTCAAGCACTGACTGTGACTCTGATTAGGAATATACACACATTGATACCCACAGACACATTTTTTTCATTTGGCTGATGCTTTTATCCAAAATGACTTACAATTACTATACATGTCAGTGGTCGCACACTTCTGCAGCGACTAGGGTCAAGTGTCTTGCTCAGGACACAATGGTGGATGGGTCACAGTGTGGGATTGAACCCGGGTCTCTCACACCAAAGGCAGGTGTCTTATCCATTGTACCATCACAACCCCCACCACATACTGTGCATGCACACCAGTCATCAAACATAGTCTGTTACAGTGAGAGAGAAATATTGTTATTTTTTGCTACCCGTTTTTGAAGCATATCATATAGTGTGGCATCTATTTTTGCTTCTTTTGTCTTATTGTTACAATTTTACAATTTATCCTCTTTTCTGGAAGCGATAGCATACAATAGGGAATTACTAGGAGTCATACAGTACTTGGTGATTTGGTATTTGTGGCTTATGGTATCAGTGACAACTGTAACATTCTGCAGGCATCTACAGTGAAGTGGAACTAAAGTGGAACTAAAGTGGCAAAGTGTTTAGACACCTTACTACTCTTATGATCTCTTAGCATTTTTTTTCCTCTAATCCTATACTGTGTTGAATTACGAACGTATATGTCCACAAATATTTGGATAGTATCCCTCTGAAATGTAGGGAGGTACTGTAATACGGGGCTCCTCCTCCCACCGCCTCCTCCCAGTCCGCCCAACAGCGGACTCATTTCTCGTTCTCGTCCCTCACTTGTTGTATGTGTCCGTTTGAATTTGTGCGGTTTCAAGCTACCTGGTGGTTGTGCGACCTGTTGGAATCCTGAGAAGACCACTGTTGTGTGTGAAGGTTAACGCTTTCTTACATGTGCGTAAAAAGCGCTTATCCTAAAGCGTTGTCCTCGTTCTTCTTACCTGTTTGTTTGCTCCGGTTGCGTACAGTGACTATGCCCCGTTTTGGGTGACTACCCGTCGTGGCTGCCGTCGCTTTGACCTCTAGTCTGCTGGTCCCACAGCGGCGGTTTTTCCTTGGCGGCGTTGTGCGCTCTGAACTCCGGCTCATCCTTGCAGAAGTTCCGCCGCAGTCCAATGCACAGCGCTTCTCTGCTCTCCTCCTGCGATAAGGATGCTTTTCGTGGTCAAACTCCACAGGATTAGCCTGAGGTGAACAAACGGACCATGTAACCAGATCAGGTACGTACAATGATGAATGGTTTGTTATATCTGAGGAAAAGCTTTTTAAATGCCCCTGGCTCTGGATTCAAATGTCAGAGGTGGCAGATACATCTTTGACTCGGACCCTTGATGTGAAAGAGCCCCCTCCCCCCCATTCATTGGCAAGGGGGAAAATGTTCACATTGCCAAGCACAGAGATTTGTGACTTAAATTCTGCGTGAAATGTGCATTTATGGCTGCCAGAGGAGAGGAAGTGACGGTAGAGCAGTTGCTGGAGCAGCAGGAGCTGGAGTCTTGAGGTATTGCCATTTTGCTGCCGCTGTGATCTTTCACACTGGTTCAGTCTGGTCTGGGTGGCCTGCTGCTGCTGGCATTTTGTTAAAAAGACTGCATCATTTCTAACTGAAAAGATGAAGTAAGGCAGTGAGTGCCAGGGCTAGTGGTTGAATGCCCACATTGGTCACCTGTATTTAAATTACATTCAGTCATGATGCATTTTGGACAGAAAGAGGGCGCAGGTGAAGATCCTGAGTCAGTGGATTGAGCAAAGCACTCACACTGCTGGGGTTAGAGGGGTTCCCTGGAGCCACTCCTGTTAAAAATGGTTCATTTCTGAAAGTGCGTCATTATGTTTTACACTGAATAGGCTACCTCTAGATAATATGACAATGTTTGATGGATGATTGCTTAAAAAATTAGGAAGTTATTAATGGGAACATAGTAACCAAACTCCAAAGCCATAAAACTCGAAAGACTCTATATAAAATGTAATGCAGCCTTGCAGATAGGAGAAAACAAATCTCTAGTGGCACCTTACAATAATCATATGTCAACAAATCATCAAGTTGTACACCAAAATGGTGTTCTTCCACTCATGTTTGCCAGAATTATTTAATTTATTCTAATCCCAAATTCCCAAATTTTCCTATAAATGAGCAATAACTGGATTAAACAACGTGTTTAAAACTTCTCTGCTTGCAATGGCCCGTGCGCTTGAAGCTGTATGTGGAAGTGTCACTGCATCTGATTGTCTCTGTCTGAAATATGTTCATATTCAACATAAACAAAACCTTCCAAGTTAAATATTCCTTTACTATGTGCACATGGCAGCCAAAGTACAGTATGTGCAGTGTATTGATCTCCCACATCAACAGCCAACAGCAGGTGCTGTGTTGCTCTGACCCATTTCTTATAGAGGAAGCTGGAAAATACAGCTTGACTAAATAACTGTTGAGCAGCCTCACTATATCCTCCTGTCTCCATCCCGCATCAAACACAAACACACACACATGCAAATGCACGCACACTTCTTAATTCCTCCACCTCCAGTGGCTGTGACAACAGGAAGTGGACTGATTTCCCAGAGGAGTCTGTAGTCAGGGCTGTCACAGCTAACACAGCGGCAACAGACAAAATGTATTTAATACACAGGTTGTATAATGGTGTGCTGTGCCAACAGTTCAAAACACTGAGGGAAATTACAACTAGCTGCCTGCTAGCAACATTTGGCCTATAAGTGCTAAGTCGTTCTATAACAGCCTCTCTGGCTGGGAAACTAAATATTTGATCAACCTCAGTTAATTTAGGAAACAGTTAGCCTAAGCTGCTTTATTAACCCAGACAGATCATCATCATTATATTGGCTTATCATTATCGCTGCTGGGAGACAATTTCCATCACCAGTTTTGGTGATTTTTGTGTTTTTCCTTAGAAATACTTATTGATGAAACCTTTACCTGTTGGACAATCTCACTTTTTGGTGTTGCTTTCAACCAAAAGTAGCATTAAATACATCCCTACCAGCATGCGGATGTTTTATACTTTTGCATACATGGGAAAAGTTGTCACTATGATAATGTTATTGCTCTCTGTGTCCTAATACAGACACTGAGAACTGTCCCTGTGTAAATGTCTGTATTTTAAAAGTTTTATAGTCTCTTCATGGATAAATGGTCTTCTAACATTCTGAAGTATCTGAGTCATGGCCAGGCAACTAAAAAATACATTAAAGAACCTGAAATTGAAGAGCAAGGCATACTGGTCAAAATTAAGCCATTTAGTGAAGCACAAGTACAGTCTGTCTATACCGTTATGTTATTTGTATTTTAACAGCACATACTGCATATGTCCAAGACAAATTTCCTTTGGGACAATAAAGTCCATTTTTTCTTATCTTAAAGGCTGTGGAATTTTACTGTTTAGCATTAACCCACAATGTCCACTCAGGATTACCACGAACATCTGAAGGTTAGTGGGCCTTGTGACACAAGTCATACTGCAATTAAAATAAGAGTCCCAACATTATCACATATTTAAACCTGCTCTGGTTCTGGTTTCTCTATTTTTTTTAAAATAAATCAAAATAGAGAGACTCTGTTACTATAACAAAGGCATTTGAGTCATAGATTTTGTCTCTTGCTTTCTGGAGGCAGACTACTGTACTCAGGCTATCTTTGGTTGTAAAGTCATGTCTTTCTTCCTCCTGCTCATACTCCACTCAACATGGAACATTTTCTGGGACAACATGCATGGGAGAGTGTTTTTAAGTTGTGGTAGTGGTGTATATACAGTATGTGTGTGTGTGTGTGTGTGTGTGTGTGCGCGTCTGTTGTGTTGGGGTTGGGGTGCTTGGATATAGTCTCAAACTACCCTGGGAAAGTGTTTCAGTGTTTCAGGAGTGCTGTGTGAATTATTGAAAAGCCCTCAAGGTTTTTCTGGCTGGTGGATCAGTATTTCTTGCCATACAGTTGCAAGTCGAGTGTACTGTAGTTACACTTTAAAGGTGAGACGAGCTGTGTCCAAACTGCACTGCAGCATTAACAGGACAGGAAATGTAACTCCGGTGTCCGGAATCAGTCACACCGGCTCTTCTTAAGGTCTACCATTACAAACTAGCTATAATTTTAGAATAGGTTTGACTCTCCAGATGATGACTGTTTTCTATCAAAAGTGTCTGAGGGAGAAAGATAGTTATCAGCCAAGGAATGTGGAATGCATTTGTTCTAGTGAAATTTGCACATAACAATTGAACATCAGCAGGGTTTTTTGTCTGAGAATGGCAGATTGCCATATGTGAAAGACACCACAATAATATGTTGTATGTACAGCCCTTGAAACTTTACTGGACATTTAACGTAATGGTTAAAATTGTGTCACATCACAGGTAGTACTGTAGGGGAGAGCGGGGTGATTTCAGCCTGTGGGGAAGTTGAGCCACCCCTTGTTTCTCGGCAACCATAGACAAAATTAGTTATATGAATACACATGGCCCATGGAATAAGTGATAAGTACATTTAAGATATAAAAACTCACACGTGTTAGTGCTTTAGGTAGTTACAATATGAGGCTATATATGAGGCTATACTGTTAGCATGACATTACTCTTTAACTGCTGGATGATGCAGTTTTGTTAATATGGCAGTGATTGGGTAATTTGAGCCAAACTACCTGGGGGAAGTTGAGTCAACTATTTTACTGTGACTGAAATGATGTGACATTATGCATTTTATACCAGCAACCAACATGTCGTGCTTATATAAAAGGAAGACAGACAGGCTTCAACTGGATTTGGACAGAGTAGTGGGAGAGGTACAAAAATGGGAAGTCCATACATCAGGTGGCACGAGAAAAGACCAAGAACAGGATGACTTTAAAGCGATACATTGATATGAAACAACTAGGAGACATAGCTGCAGTGTTTCACTACTAAATACAACTGGGAACTGGCATTTGAGTTTGCATGATAAAATGACATTGATGTCGCTGACCTAGGGTTGGGCAATATAGCCAAAAATGTTATCACGATAAAAACATTTCATATCATTCAATATCGATAATTATCACGATATATGTCAAATAATTATTTCTTTCAACTTTAAAGGCTGATTTTTGCTCCTGAGTGAAAATGTAAGGAACCAGATGGTTAATTATGTGTTTAAACTTTTCTTTATGGTCAGAATGAGACACTTGATCCCAAACAGTGGATCACTTCACAATTCTAAGGTGGAACATTCAAAACTATTATGATAAAATTTGTTTTCAACAAATATGAATAGTTAAAACCCTCCTGCTGCCTCGAGCAAATTATAATGACTTCGGCTCCCTTCTTTCCCTTCCCTTCGAACAAAGCGGGTCAAAGGGACACCCCTCTCTTCCCCATCTGTCCGGCAACTCACGGGAAATTCAGTCCCTGTGCGCTGTTGAGACTGGGTAAAAGGGACTATTCGAAACAAAACCTTATGACTGTGGCAGCCCGAGCCCTGTCCCTGAGCGGGTCAAACGGACCCACCTATTCCCTTGGAACAACCAACAACAACAATCTTTTTTTCAGGCCTCTTTTTCTCAACAAAATACATATTTTTAATAGAAAAATTAAGTGCTAATTTGTCCGTAATTCAAATGAATTGAACCAAATATTTATTGACGATATATTGAACATTTATTATATTGTTATTGAGGAAAATTATATTTACGATAATTATTATTATTGTTTTATTGCCCTGCCATTCACCTTATCCGCTCCTCTTTTATTTGGAAAGCAATATTTTGAAAACCGTTTATTTTAGATCCAAATTGATTATTCCCAAGGATGCACCACATGTGGTTATGTCTAAGGCAATTAATCAACAATACACGTTACCGACTAACACAGGCCACAACATAGGCCATTGCCTAAGAAAGGATGCTGACCCAAGTATACCTCTGTGAGCTCGGATCATCTCCTGTAGTGTTGCTTCACTCGGCCTGGGTGGTGCCCGGTGTCCAGAAAAGACACCTATCCTGAAAAGTATAACTCGATTCCTTGTTCAGTTGCCATGGACTTCCAGGGAAAAGTGATATTTTTTTAATTTAAAATATTGTAGTTTGTTGTTATCAGTTCATAGTAGACAATGAAGAAAACATAAGGAGAGAAGAAGGGGGAGAGTTGGATGTTGTGTTAGTATTCTTTTATCATAGTATTAATGATTGACTCTCTTAATCCAAACATACTATGTTTTTTGGCTGCAATGTATTTCCAA